GACGGTTGGCACTGTAGATTGGTACTCCTTTCTTGCTTCCAAAGATCGCGACGAGCGGCTTGTGGTCGGTCTTCAGCGTAAAGTGTCGTCCGTGGATGAAGCGATGAAACTTCTGCACGGCGAAAATGAGAGCGAGTGCTTCCTTCTCAATCTGGCTGTAGTTCTTCTGTGCTGGTGTCAGGCAACGGCTTGCATGGTAGACGACCTTCTCGGATCCATTCGGGAAGCGATGAGAGAGAGTTGCTCCGATTCCATAGTTGGAAGCATCGGCAGCTACGATGATTGGTAGACCGGGGTCGAAGTGAGTTAATAAGAGATCCGAGCTCAGTGTTGCCTTGATCTTGTCGAAGGAAGATTGGCACTCTTGTGTCCATTTGTAGACAGCATCCTTTTTCGTGAGAGCGTCTAGTGGAGCGCGTAAATTGTGCAGATCCTTGACGAAGTTTCCATAAAAATTGATGAGTCCTAGAAATGAGCGAAGCTGGTTGATGTCTGTTGGAGCGGGCATCTTCTGAATGGCTTTGATCTTGTCTGGATCGGGGTGTCGTCCTTGCGCATTGACGACGAACCCAAGGTAGGTAATTTCTGTCTGTAGAAAGGTGCATTTTTCGAGTCGTACACGGAAATCCATAGTCCTGGATCCTCTTGAACACTGCTTCTAGTCGAGTGTTGTGTTCGTCGATGGTTCTGCCAGTGACCAGTATGTCGTCGAGATAGGTGGCAGTTCCATCTATTCCAGCGATGAGTGCGTCCATGCACTGTTGGAAGATGCCAGGTGCGGGCTTCACTCCAAACGGTAGTCGATTGAAACGGTAGAGTCCACGGTGCGGTATTGATTGTCAACAGCTTCTTTGACTCATCATCCACTTCCAACTGAAGGTAGGCTTCAGCGAGATCGAGCTGAGAGAAGTAGCGTCCTCCATTGAGTTTTGTGAAGATGTCGTCTGGGCTTGGAAGTGGGTGCCGGTGCTGTTCCAGTGCGTCATTGAGTCCAGTTGAGTAGTCTGCGCAGATCGATCCATTTTTCTTCTGAACGACGACGATCGGTGCTGCCCATTCTGAGTGGTCGATGGGCGTCAAGACTTGAATAGATACCAGACGATCTATTTCGGTCGAAATCTTCGGCAGAGCCGCATACGGAACAGGGCGAGCCTTCAGAAACACGGGCTTTGCTTCTGGCTTCAACACGAGTTTAGCAGTTGATTTGGTACAACGTCCTAGCTCTGGTGTGAAAACTGCTGGGAACTTCCTTCTCAGATGCGCAGTAAGAGAAGAATTCAAGGTGCTGAGCGTCCTTGAAGATACGTTACAGATTGATCCTTCTGTTAAAGACAGCGCCCGCGATGGACTTTGGCAGGTTTCAGGGGTCACATTTGCTAGAACAGGTGGCCAATGAAGCACTAATCAAAAAAAGCAGAAAAGGTGTGGAAGAGCGTGAAATAAGAAATTGTGAAATTTAAACTAAACTATGAAATTTAAGGCATGTGGACGAGTTTCGCAAACTTCTGGTGAGTTCTCCAATACACGTCGCCGCCTCGGAACTCTAGAAATTCAGCGTATATCAATGCCAGCAAGCATTGATAACTGTCAACCAGTCGGGGCGGGATTAACAGGACAGGAGGCGTCAGCCCGGCTCTGTTGACTCCGCCCTCGTCAACCAATCGATTTCGAGCCGCAAGAGTGGGATTTCTGCTGTGATTGCGAACTCCGCGTTCGTTTTCAATGGAGGGTTTTTTCACTTTGGTTGATCGCGGACGCTGCCTTTAAGGGACGGAACAACTGCTCGTGTTGCGCGATAAAGTTCATACCCAAGAGCGATGGCGTGTCGGCTACGTAGCAGGTACCTCGTCCTCGGTGACCATCAATGACGAAGTTGCAGTCGTAGCGTCCTCGAACGTTGATCGGCTTGTCGTTGGCAGACTTCAGTGTCAGTCCAGGAGGTTCTAGCTTCGGACTATCCAGTCTGCCTTACTCAACAATGTGAAGTCTGCTCCAGTGTCCAAACGCGTGCGTATCTTCGTTCCATTGATTTCCGCCGGGCGATAGATACGCGATACGGGAGCGATGTTTATCGGAATCGATAGGAGGACTAATACCTGATAATCGTGGATGATTACTCCAAGTGGCCTGAAATGATCCAATGTCAACAGATTTCTTCATCAGCCACGGTCCAAGCAATGAAGAAAATTTCTCGCCAAATTTGGAAATCCGGTCACACTCGTCACAGACAGTGGCAGTTCACATCTTCACTGTTCGCTTCGTTCTGCCGTTCCCGAGGATCACGCACATTCGCACGCCGCCGTTCCATCCGCAAAGCAACGGACAAGCGGAACGCTTTGTGGACACCTTCAAACGAGGACTCGCCAAGTTGAAGGGGGAGGAACCGACAGAGGACGCTCTGCAGACTTGCTGATGGCTTACCGCTCTACGCCGTGCCCGTCTACACCAGACCAACGCTCACCTGCAGAAGCCTTCTTGGGACGCCGACTGCGAACCGAACTCGACTTGATGCTGCCACCAAAAGACGTCACTGCAGGAACACGAGACGTCAAGATGGAAACTCAGTTCAATCGTCGAAATGGAGCACGACGCCGCAGCTTCGAAGTCAATGACGCTGTTAACGTCAAGGATTACCGAGGACCGAAGCCTGCTTGGACACCTGGTATCATCATTCGACGCGCTGGAAACGCCACATACGTAGTACCGCTGTGGAAACAACATATGGCATCGACACGTGAACCAGTTACGATCGAGGACCGACACAACAACGACAAACACCCTCATGGAAGCGTTTGATCTACCGCTGTTCGACTCCACGAGCAAGGACAATGTCACACCTCAGACGATGACTGCCGAGCCGCCTCGACGATCACAACGCGTCCGACGACCTCCACGCCGACTCCAGCTGGACCCGCGTAGGTCCCAATACTTGTTTGCTCAATAAGGGAAGGTGTTGTAGGGTTCACAGTGTATGAAAAGAAATGAATAACACAACAACACTATACTGTACCGGGAAATCGTTGACGAACTCACACTGGAAAGTGTCTTTTTCGTGCAGATTGGCAACGATGTTGTGTTAGTGAGTTTCTTAACAATCATATCGAGCGACAGCTCGTGCGAAATAGACTGTGATAGGAAGTGGGTATCAGATCATCGCGTCCCATGTCCGCATGGGCTATCTGGGGATCGCGCTAAAGGTGGCGTGACCTACCAAATCGAATATAAGACATGTAACGCAGCTTACATTGGACAGACTGGAAGAACACTAGCTACACGTATTAAAGACACATGGTACGCTCACAGTTAGGGCGTATAAGACTATCAGCCCCCTAGCTGTCGATGTGTCGTGGTCCCCCGCCCAAAACTGCACGGGGTCAGAGTACGGGGAGTCGTAATTCCTTGCCACACCGCCCATTTCGCAAACTCACGTTTATGCTAACACCGTCCGCGCGGCGCGGTCGCGTGCAGCTCTCTTGGCTTTTTGCCAAGTCCTGTAATTGCGCTTTGGAATACAAGTACAACGCAATTTCTTTATGCGGATAACATTTTAGGTGCTGCAAAATAAGAACCGAAGATGATGACGAGGGCTAGAACTCAAGAGCAACTGTGCTGCTTCTGCAATATCCCTCGGAGGCCGCGCATTTCCACGAAACATGAAAATAAAAACGGCCTAAGCGTCCCACTCGTTAGTTTAAAGTATTTCTATGGCTTTGGCCGGATTCGAGCCGGATCGCAGAAATGCACACGCGATTTTAATTAATTTGCGTTTCCTTAGTTTTTTCAATTTTGTTTTATTTACATCTACATTCGTTGTTCTTCATTTCTAGCCTTTGTCATCTTCATCACCTTCTATTCGGACTTTGAAGCATGAGCAATACCTCAAATGTTAGGAAATTGCGTTTTGCTTGTATTGTCATGTTTTATTGTCATGTTGTCCGTTTTTATTGTTCTGTGGGAATGCGCGGCCTCTGAGGAATGTTGCAGAACAGCACAGTTGCTCTTGAGTTCTAGCCCTCGTCATCATCTTCGGTTCTTATTTTGCAGCACCTAAAATGTTATCCGCATAAAGAAATTGCGTTTACTTGTATTCCAAAGCGCAATTACAGGACTTGGCAAGCCAAGAGAGCTGCACGCGACCGCGCCGCGCGGACGGTGTTAGCATAAACGTGAGTTTGCGAAATGGGCGGTGTAGCAAGGAATTACTTTCCCACGGCCCCGTACTCTGACCCCGTGCAGTTTTGGGCGGGGGGACCACGACACATCGACAGCTGGGGGGCTGATAGTCTCATTCACCCTCATGCGTACCATGTGTCTTTAAGGGGCATCTCGCTGGTACAAGACGCGGCAATACGCGTACACCGATTGGGTTCGACTGAAGAGCATGGCGGAAGTGACTATAATGTGAAGTGCAGAATTCTGGCACACAAGGCAGAAATTTCGGCTAGAGAGCGCTAGAGGCATTCTGGATTTCCGCAAGGAATCCTAGGATGAACAACCGAAATGAGTGTCTGTCCATTACAAATGACCTCTTGCCATTTATGCCACATTGCGAGCTATTGATGTGAACAGTGAGACGTGCTGTTCCTAACTATACTTACTGTATAGGGACAGCACAATATGTCTCATTTGCTGACTACAACTATCAGCGAGTGGCGTCGTTCCAATCATGCGGTGGTCGGCTGGTGAGATCGTTCCTCTCATCCGCAGTTTTTTTTCTCTCGGTAGCAGTCCCGTTCACTACTAGTTGATGCATATATCTGACAGTGGACTTATCAAAAACTGTTCCGTCTGAAATGTTCAAACGGTACACCACTGCTCGCTGAATAAATTAAAATGCTGAACAAGATCAGGGAGTATTCAGTTTAGGGCTAGACATGCCTCTTTGTGTCTCACAAAGTCAACACCGTGAAGTGGCATTTATTGTACGTCGCTGTAGGGCTTCTTGCTATAGAGCATTGTTGATCTTGTTGTAGGATGTTGATGTATTAATTGCCGGATGGATGGAAGAGACGTTATTGGTGAAGGACCACCCTCTATCTTTGCAGGTCTTACAGCTTACCGAGAGTGTTCTACAGTTAGTCACATTACTGGTTTTCAAGCCACTTGTTTACGAAAGATTAGCAAGGTTGATTTAGTCACAATCCTCGTTGTCTCGGAGACGCTTCACTGAAGACTATAATTCATACGGTCTCTTCACGGACATGTCGTGGTTATGACCTTCACACATTATTATGTCTCGAGGTTTTGGACACTGTGCTTAAATACAGGTGTGTTGATCATGATTGTTTGCTCGAAGAAAAAATCCATTCATTTTTTTCTAGTGACATACCACACGATGAGCTTATGGCTGTTTTGACAGCTTTCTGTGTATTGATGTGCGATGAAAAAATTAGAGAACAGGCATGGTCCCTCGTTAGGGCACTTCTTACTTCTCACATGGGGCACAGGTATGAAGCTAACAAGCCGTTTTTCTTTTTTATATCATATGATTTGTTCTAATGGAAAATTCCCAAGAGCACTGATTTTGGCAAGTAGCACCTTTCAGTGCCATACTAAAGTCGGAGCCTCGGAGCCTGTCGCTTTCATACTTCGCGACCCGAGTGATCCCCAAATCGTGCGAGTGTGGCTGACTCCTATCGACAGCCGATCGCAATTAGTGCACCACTGCAGCTGTCAAAAGTGTGATCCAGAACACTAGAACTACTTCAATCTTCTGATCGGGGTTCAACCGGCGTGTGGAACACCCCCAGTCGCCTCGCGATTGAATGTAGCATCAAAGTTACAGGCCAGAGACAAAATTCAAGGTGCGATTTGCGCTGACATGATTGAGCGATCCAGTGGACGTATCTACTACACTTTTCAACTTGATTCAGGGGTGAAACTTGTGAACTCTCGTGAAACTGGAGCAGCTCGCCGAGCCAACTTGCTATAATCTATGACCCCGTAGAATAGCTGTCTAGATAATACGTCGATGGGAAGTGCCAAAGTGCAAGACGCCCTCTATCTCCGTACCCCCCCCCCGATACTGCTTATGTTTCCAGTCTTCTGTAGTCATATCCTATAGTTCTTAGACCAATGAATTGACTGTTCCAATCAGCATGCAGCAGCGCACTGGTCGATATCCTGAATGCTATGTCTGAAATTAACTTCAGGACTCGAACGGCACTCATAACTATACTAAATGATTCCGGTGCAGAACGGCGAGAGCAACCCAATCCTAACGACGAGTGCAACGAGAAGAACATGAAGATGGTACTACGCGGAGCTATATTCTGTTTAGGAAACGCAAACTGGGGTGCAGGGGTATGTCTTTATTGTAATTAATTTAGCCCTAGTGTTTGAAATTGCTGCTAGTGTTTGAAATTTATCTTTCTTTATCTTTATCTGAGGACGCGAACAAAGTTCGCGCTTAAGTGGAAAAAACAGCAATAACAGAACGGCGTAGATGAAACGATGCGAATCCGAGAGAAGTAAACAAAAACAATGTGGAAGTGTTGTAAAAAAACAGTATGAAAGCGTATGAAATTGCATAACTATAACTTATAATTGCAACACGTGAGAAAGAAAGGAAAAGAAAGCACTAGTTTAAAATGTGATTAACTTTAGCTCTAATAAGCTCTAGGAATGAGAGTCTCGTATAATACGAGAAACCCCTGAACTAGATTAGATAGATTTCATTTTCGTAATGTGCCCCAGTTTGAGTAGAGCATGAGAAACGACTACTGTGTTCTTTTTTTTCCTGCTGAGTCACTGTTCAGGACGATAATCAGGTGTAGCGTAGGCTCTTGATATTATGTCACTATTTTAGCAGGTCGATGCAGTACGTTCGTCACTTGGAAAAATGATTGAGCCATTGCGAAATGTGGTTCGGATCGACGAAATAATATGCGCCGGTAAATGTTCAAACAAGCTCACCTCTTTTGTGTAGTAGTGCTTATATTTTCCTGCATGACAGATTAGAGAAATTAGGTACCCCTTGAGGATTCCTGTTTTACCAAGATAATTGTCTGAAACCATTCGTGAATTGCAAATGCTAATGCAAATGCTAATACGAAGGACTGTTTTGGTTTTGCTTCTCATCAAGATAGAAAGGAAAAAAATGTGGTTTGACGACGAACACTCAACTTCATGGATAATTTCTTGAAATACCAGCTCCCGCAAAAGCTCGGCGTTGTTAGCAACCTCTATGTTGTTTTCTTTTTTTTGCCGACGAGATTGTTAAGCGGGACCTTCAGTTACCGGTCCCACATTTCCACAATATCGTCGTTCTCAGGCGCTCAATATTTGCGACTTTTTCCTTAGAACGTGACATCTCGTACACTCAGCGCTTCTGGTGAGAAATTCGGAAAACCATGCGAAAAACTAGGAAAAAACGTGCTGTTCCTGCATATGCACTCCTGGTTGCAAATTGTTGATTGTAAGATAAGGTAGGCGCGGCTGCGTACTCCAACTGAATGTGGCGGTAACTTTTCTCCTGGTGATATTTTCATTTTGAGACAATCGTAGTCATGTCTTCGTCCACCAGAGAGCAAGATAAGTTGTCTCGAGTTGGAATATCCCACGAGCAACCATGCCTATGCCATGCCCAAATGCCGCACCTTTTGTCTCAGGGATAAGGAGTGTAGCTACTATATAAGGGCGTCATCGTGCAACTGAAAGAGTGACGGCTTAACGCCCCTGCGACGATGAACTGACGCATCTGTCTTCCTTTCTCGCTGTTTGGGTTGTTTTATATGTTCCGTCAGAATAGCGGCCACTTTTTCGCCTGAGGGAGCAAATTATGGATCTTGAGAAACCTCGGGGCGCAACCATCCGGTCGAAGAACAAGTCCGTCTAAGCAGTCCCACCTAACAACCTCGCTGCGAAAGAGACACATTAAACTCCTGACTCATTTTTTTGATGCAATTCTTCCCTCGCACGCGCATAGGCGATCGCTTTGATTAGGTGTTGCAGCTTTTAACCTAGAATGCTTGCTGCCGTGTCTTCGATTCTAAAACAATCCTTCTTGTTGGCTCTCCTCCAACTGCTCTGGTGATTTTCAGTTGAACTTCCCTGGTCTCCGAAGCGCAGTATCGTCTTTAAGGTAATACTATAGTAATACTACTATAGTTTTCTCAGTAAGTGTCCATACACCCGCAGTCGGTGCTCTTGAATCTTCAACGAAATGAACTGAATGCGCGACCGCCCTGTCTTTCTCGTTTGTGACTCCACTCCGCGTACAGCCACAAGTCCACTTCAGATTCTCACCCGAGCGGAATGAAATTACCCTTGATAGCCGCTTGTCAATACTGCCGAGCATTGCAGGCCTTACTAGTGCTTACCTTCAAATGTGGGCGTTACATTAGAAACTTTAACCTCAAAAAGTTCACGATCAGTGGAAGCGAATGACACCAATGTAATATTGAGAAGAAAGTCCTGTCAGTGTTGCGGTTTTTTTTATTGATCTTCTATTCAGCGGGGTCCAATTTTCATCCGTCGGTCAACATTACAGTCGCTATTGTTAGCTAATGGAGAGGCCCATTAAACAGGCAGCATTTCATCTTCCGAATCAATGGAATGATAGTCGAAACAAGCCTTGGTGAAGGTTCCCTTATGCAAAAAAGCCTGAGGAGGCGGAACTGGTGGCAGTCAAGTGAAGGGAGGCGGGGTACTATTCCATAGCCTAGCTCTCCGATTTCTTGATAGGTCACCGTAGTATTGGGAATCGCCTTCTCATGGCAGAGCTGCAGGAAGCTCTCTTGATTTTTCGTAGCGGTTTCCTCGAGTTTCTGAAGTCGTCTTCTATTCGACAGCGGATATCGTATGCTTCAGCAAGGATAACTCGTACTGTTGCTTCTGTCAGATCCCTGAAGCAGCGAAGAAGCTTCTTTTTAGGGTGCATGTCAAGTTACCAGATGTAGACGAGTTTTCTCTAAATTATTCAGTCTGTTATAAAAGGCTGTCACAACTGGATTGTACTGTAAGTATTAACACCCACCATATATAATTTGCTTCGTTGTTTGTTTGTTTGTTTGTTTGTTTGTTTGTTTGTCTGTCCGGAAATTCGGTTCTACCAGAAGAACTTGGAGAGTTGGGGTCAAGGTCGGGATGGGTAGGGCACTGGACAAGATGTAATTAAGAAGATGTAATTAGCACCCGTGACCCATGCCAAACCCCGCCCGCAGACGGCGGGGAGTACGCCGAAAGTTGAATATGTCACTGAAAAAAACCTAATTCGGCTTCAGCGCAGTAGGGTAGGGTTAGCACAGGATTGGCCCATCAAGTGGAGGAGGCGCACCGAAAGTGGGCGGGGCGTACTCGAGATACTCGAGATGGGTGGTACTTCTCATGTCGGTAACTCAGCCCCGAGAGAGTTTAGACTTTGCAAAAAAGTCCATTTCGATGACAATCATCTGGCAAGAGTCCGTCATATCTGCGGTGTGCGGAGACCCGCCAACAGTGGCCTCAGGCATAAGGTATTATTCGAAAAAATTGTAAGTTTGGTCCTAAGCACTACAGACGACGCGAAAAAGTGGATTATGGCCTCAAATGTGAGGGACACCCGCTGTGGGCGAAGCGTGCGCCGAGGTTTGCGGGGCTGAATTAAAAAATTCTTAAAACGTTTTCGGAATACTCAGACACCGGGAAGAAGTAGGTTAAGGTCATCGAGGGTCACCGGTTCACAAGTGTGAGGCATACCCGTTGTGGGTGGAGCGTGCGTCGAGGTGGGCGGAGCCATTTCTAGAAATTCCTATTTCCAAAGCACTCCAGACACTCCAGACCTCCTCCGTGGTACGGCCCGGCTTTGCGGGGCGTGGCTCCATCGCGCCTACCTGCATTCGTATGATCAAATGCTCGACTAATACCCGGCATTTCTCTCATCTGTCCGCTTGATCAACGCTCCACAATACTGTTAAAAATAGCAGCTATGATGCTATTGGTCAAAGAATGTTGACCATCTGTTCAGGTAAAAGAAAAGCCGATACTAGGTGTATTGAAATGTGTGGAAGAAGGTAAGCGCGGCGGAGCCGCGCCCGCCCGGCGAAGCCGTGCTGTATCTCAGAAGGAGGCGCGTCGGCGTCAGCCGGCGAAGCCGGCTGGTTCATCTAATAAGAAGGGAAAGTTAGAAGCTATCGTTACTGGGTAATCCCTTCAATTGATGCGTCACGCAGTCTTATCGTGTTGTGTTCTCGTTATTAAAGGAGCATTAGTCATCTGTTCAGATGAAAATGTTCTCGTTATTGAAGGAGCGTTAGTCTGTTCTGTTCAGATAAAAGAAAAGCCGGATATTAGTTGGGTATCCATACATGAGGAAGAAAGTAAGTGCGGCGGAAGCCGCGCCCGCCTGCCGAAGCTGGGCCGTATCAGAAGGAGGTGCGCCGGCGTGAGCCGGCGAGCCGATTGCTCATACATATCTCTCTATTTATTTTCTTAGATGTCCTCTTTGGCATGCGCCGGCTCATTCAAAATCATGGTCGTGAGTTGCAGCAGATGACGTGGATTAAGCTAATGGATTTGTTTGAAACAGTTGTAGATCTTTGTGAAGAGGTATCTCATTCAAGGATTCCGTCTAGTTTTGCGTTCTAGAAACTTTTTTTTAAGAGATTCGAATATGCGAGTACATGTGAGAACTCTCTTCATCAAATCCTTCTGCTTATGGAACAGCTTTACTGCGATGGTCATTTCGATGCACCTCCGGTTATGCTCTATGATCTCATCGAGAAGTGTGCAGATAGGAGACCGGATACGTCTGTTGTCAAGTTGATCCAGTACAGGGCACTGGTAAGCTTCAATCGATGATGGAATTTCCTGTGACTCTGAACTGAACTCGAAGGCACAGGGCACGATTGCTGCCAACCCCACTGTTGGAAAGGCTCACCTACCCAGCCCCTCCACCAATGAGGGTGGCGTTAATCGCCCGCCCCGACTATCCTACTCATTGCCTTTTGACTCACTGTGTGTCAAAAGAAACGCCGGTGGGGAGAGGCGTGTCAATCTACCCTGGTCGTTTCAGACTTTTCTCGAGGTCCGAAACCTTTCGTTTCTTAAATAAGTCTACATTCGAAATGAGAAGAAAATGAGCGTTCAGAGCGTTTTCGTCATTTTGTCATAGAATACTTTCCAAGAATGGGGGAAGGACGGATTCTTCGGAAATCCCTACCTTAAAGACAGCCCCCGCGCTCAAGCAGTACATGGACGTCCTTCCTTGTGCAAACAGTCAAGCCCCAAGCTAGAGACTCTCCCACTCTCGCGACTCCACAAGCGAGAAGCGAGCTACCCGCTCAGACTTATGGTTCTAACGCCCGTCCAGTTGGACCGCCCACTTGCTAGATGCCCTCTGACGGAGGGCCGCTCAGTTGTTCTTTGTTGGGGCGGCGGGCATTAATCGGAATTGCATGTCCTTTTTGCTGACCGCGCTCGTGCCCATAAATAATTCTGCTCTCCTTTATTACATTTTATTCATTGGGAGCACATACAGTCAACTGCAACCCATCTCGCAAGGTAAAACGCGTAAAAATCACGAGTGATACAATTTTTGTGGTGCGAAAGCCCGACATGCACTAAAAACCGCAAGAAAGCTGTATCCAAATTCGGGCGCCAAGATTTTGAAATTTATTTTTTTGAGTGTTTTTCGTTCGTGTTTTTCGTATTCTTTTCTT